AAACCTAACAGCAGTAGTAGTATTTATACTATTTGGATCTTTTTTGTTTCAGACTTTGCAAGGACGGATCCAAGTATTAAAATTCTGAAGCAATATTTTCAAAGTTGCTAAAATTGCTCGCAGAACTCGACAAAAATCAAAATCAAAAGATATGAAACCATATCGCTGCTTAAAACTGGTTTCAGCTTTTTAAGCGTGGTGTCTTGCCCTTTGAAATAATGCTCAGGGTTTTTAATTATGACGCAAGACAGATAAAAATAAAAGCATGCCTACTGGAATAATTTAATAAGAATCAGGATCCTCGGCACATAAATTAAAAAGAGCATTGCATACGATTAAATACGATTAACCTTTGAATTAAAGATTTATTAAAAGAAGAAATTATTTTGTAGAAAGCTAACTCAGGTATACATTGAAAAACAATTGTTGTTTTTTATAATCACTCCACGCCAAGCAAGGCAATAAAGCCACTAATATATAAGGGGTTACTGAGTGTGAAAGAATAGCAAAAAAGAGAAATACTAAGGAACGAGAACAATAGAAGAAGTGAAACAAAAAAGACAGTAGATAACGATTGACATTGTATTTAAATTAAAGTTGGCTGGGATGTATGGAGCCGGAAGTCCTCATCTTTGTCGCTATACTTATTACAACGTTTCGGCCGTTGTACGCTCCGGTCTTCTTCAGATGGTTAGAATGTCGAACTGAACCCTTTATTTCGTTCACTGGGGTAGACTGTTCTAATTCCACGTGCCACGTCTAATGTATGTCAGTTATCAGTTATCTCCTGTTAATTCCTGAGCCGAAAAAGCATAGAAATGAATACAATATGGGAACAAGTAATAAAGAGTTCCAGAGAAAAGCGATAATAACAATAAAAATTGCAATATGAGCTCTGGTAAAAATATGATGATAACAGCAAAAATTGCAATATCAGCACTGGTAAAAACGGTTGCTGAGACATTAGGTTTATAATACCGAAAAATTCATACACAGATGTCTTCAAGGACACATGGCACAGTGGATAAAGGCGTTGGTTAGATCCAGTGACAGGACCCAAAGAGTTAAGGCAATGGAGAACTTTCAGAGGGCAATTAACATTAAATGACATCCATCAAACACGGCACGTGGAACTAGACAGTCTACCCCAGTGAGCGAAATAAAGGGTTCAGTTCGACATGCCAACCATCTGAAGTAAGCCGAACATTGTAATAAATATGGCAACAAAGATGAGGACAATAGTCTGAATAATTTAAATAATATACTTAATACCTCATCTCAGAAATATAGACAGATACGGAGCCGGAGTGTTCTACAAGCGAGAAGTGCGAGAAAAGAAGCTACCGGCATAGATCTGGAGGTTACATCTAGCTAATTCAACTGTAAATTAATGAGATGTTGTTTTCAATCTTGCACTGAGCTTAAATTTTGTACGTTTCAGGTGTGAATGATATAGATTTTTTGTGTGATAAATTAAGAAATTAATAACACTCTTTTCTTCCTCTTTGTAAAACTCTTTCTTTATGTTTCTTCATAAGTTTGCAATATATCAGGGTTTTCGGAACTTAATTATGTATATCACCACACAATGATTTATGAGTCTACTAAGGCAGGACCAAAATCCAAAATTAATTTATCGTCTCTTCAGTCCGACGGTGTGTATATTTTGTAATGAAAAAAAAAAAAAAAAAAAAATGAGATTTTGTTTTCTCACGAGATTTCACTTGAAAAGCGAACACGTCGTTACATTATCTGCAGCAGTCTTTTAACTAGGAATGATAACCTTTCAGTTTTTCCATTGTTTTGTTTTTCATGTGAAAAGCGTGCATGTGATAAAATGGGTTTTGTATGTCGAAAGAATGCAGGTGATAAAAATGCATTTTGCATATCAAAATAAATCTACTCCCTCCACCAAAAAAACAAAAAAAACAAACCCAAAACAGCGGTTATTACAAATACTGAAACCAGTGGCAACACCAAAATCAGGACTTCATCCACAGAAGTCTTTGTGCAATTCCTGGTGGAATTTGAAAGGTTCCAATTACGTGTTACTGGAATTTGAAAAGGCCATAACTGTAGACGCTTATTGCAAGGCGAACATTATGTTGAAACTGTACTGTTTTGGAAAACGGAAAACAGTTATTCCATGCAAGGCACAATTCCGTAAAAACAAACTCAAGAAATAAAATGTTTTTTAGGTTCAGAGATTCTTCCACCTCCTCCAAACCTGCTGGATTTAGCACCTGCGTATTTTTGTTTGGGTTCGAAAAAAATCTTTCAGATATTTTTCGAGGAAAAACCGAGATTTTTGAAAACATCACATTAAAATGTTCGCGTTGGGCTGCAGTTGTTAAAAATTGAAGGCGGTTGCTTTTTGCATAAACACTATTTAAATAAATTTATTTTAAGAAACAATGTTTAATTAAATTGATATTATTTACACTATTTGCTTTATTCGGATTGTTGTTCTCATCTTTTTTGTCATATTCACGACATTTCAGCCGCTGTATGACCCAGCCTACCCCATGGACATCTGGTCCAATGGATAAATGCATTGGTTGAAGTAATCCAGTGACATGACCCAAAGTGTTGTGAGTTCAATACCTAGCCACAGCAGAGGTGAACATAGGAGATGAGTTACTAAAAGGAATTGATTGAAACTGAGATATCCAGAAAAGGCATGGCACGTGGAACTAGAACAATCTGTCCTCGTGAACTAAATAAAGGACTCGGTTCGAAATACCAACGTATATCAACTAAACTTCGTGAATATGACAACAAAGATGAGGACAACAGTTCGAACAATGTAAATACTTACAATACCTCATCTCAAAAATAGAGACAGATAAATTTATATTATATAAATATAATTATATATATATATTAATTATATATATATATATATATATATATTATATATATATATATATATATATATTAAGGAATTGTATTCCCTGATCAATCAAAATCCGTAAATAATTATATAGGCCACACTACAATACGCAGACTAACTCTACACCTTTCTGACCATAGCTCAATTAGATCTCATTTAAATATTCATGGAGATCTACCGGACACTATTTGTAACATACTTGTTGACAACACAAATATAATAGCATCTACATGCAAAAAAAGGCTAAAAATAATGGAAGCCTTATTAATAAAAAGAAACAAACCAACACTTAATAATATTAACTTTGAACATGGACATAATATCTTGACCGTGTTTTGAAACAAAAAAAAAATGAAAACATTTTATAAAACATACATACAACAAACTATTTCTTATTTTAACAGTTAAAATATAATCCTTTTAAATGGCTAAATGTATAGCCGAAAGCTCTCGAATAAAAAGAAAATTCAGCCAGTTTTTATATAATTTATCATCCGAAAAGAATACAATTATTAGATCGCATGAGAAATTGTATAAAAAAACTAAATAAAAGCACCTTGTCTGTCGTTTTCAATGAAATGTGCTTGAAAGAAGGATTGCAGCCTAAATACACCCCCCACACACGCACACACACACACATATATATATATATATATATATATATATATATATAGACAGATAAATTTATATTATACTTGATTTATGAGATAAATGTCGTTATATTTCGATAGCCTTAATTCATATGGATATTTCACTTGAATTCCAGTGTATATTTGAATTTTTTACTTTCTAATATTACATCCATATTTGAAACAAACTTTTTATCAATAAACTCGTAAAATGATTGTTTTGTGATGTCAACGAACACTCGTTGTCACTTTCGTGATGTTCGTTGTAGTAGAGATTTTGTAATTGTAGATACAACTATAGTACGCCGTTGAACAATACTAGTGTCAGACGCCTTCGAATAACACTCGTATTAATAGTACTTGCTCGATAATACTCGCTCAAAAGTATCCCATATAGTGATCTGAATAGTATAGTGAATAGAGAATGGCGGCCCGTATATAAATAGAGGATAGAATAGAAATAGCGATCATTTAAACATCACGTTACTACCTACTTATGCGTTTCTTCCATGGTCACGTGATCTAATTAATTCAATAATGGGATCGCCTATTTTTGCTCACTGGCGATCTATGTTCAAACTTAAGTTTTGACAACAACACTTTATTCCTATATAACAGTTTGAATAAAACACAGTGATATTATGACGGAAGTAGCATGTTTAGTAGATGGACATATCTGATGGTACATTGTCTAATACAGTGTCTGATGTCACGTAAAGTATCGGTGATTTATTGAAATTCTAGTAACTTTTGTTTACAGTTAAATTTGAATATTGTTGTGCTTTTAATGATTATATAACAGTCCTGATATATTGTTTGTAATATTTGTGAAAAATTTGAAGTACATTGCATTAAAAATGATACGCCTACGTTCGAATAAAAGTTGGAGGCTAGAACAAAACGTGGTTACTTAGTGTCTTTTCTGTTCTCTATTTTGCTCTTGGAATTCCAATATGGCGGAATCACAGCAACGATTACCATTTTTGTGCCTTCAGAATTGAAAGACGAAATAAAAAGAATAAGAACTAAATAGCCTCTCCTATTTTCCCATTAGTAATAAGGTCGGTATTATATAGATTAGATCTACCAATCGAAACTACATCTGATAAGCTTAATCATTTAGAAATTCACAGAAAGAAAATGTTGCAAAGATGAAGAATTTCCTCAAACGTATACAAGAAATATGTCACAGACATTTTCTTAAAATCATTGATTGACCGATTCGTTTTCTACAGCTTATGACGGTTATTTAAAGCCAGAATATATTTTTAGATTCTAAGATTTTTTAAGATAATAATTCTATAGCGATACGAGTCTTACGATTTAACCCATAGCTGGGGAAGAAGAGGTAAATTCATATCTTTCCCAAGGGCATTTGCTCGTAAGTGAATCTAACGTACCCAAGAGGAATTAGAACCTGGCTCTCTATAATTAAAAATTTCGAGCCATTTTCCATTGCACTGCTTGCACATCAAAGCTCACGGCATCTGGTATTCCAAAGCGGTCACCCATCTAGGTACTGAACAAGCTCAACGCTGCTTAACGTCGGTGATCGTACGGGAACTGGTGATTCAATGTGATATGACCGTAAGCACTCTTAAAATAAATTTAATGATTCAGTTGATATTCTTAAAAAAATTATTTATACTAAAGTTCATCCAATAGAAGGCTCAAGAGCAACTCAAGTTAGAGTTTTACAGAATGACGTGCGTGATATGAAATTAAGAGGAGCTAGGAGGAACTGAGTATAATGAAAATGAATAAAATAGATCGGTATTTGCTCTGGACTTGAATTGTCAATGGTCAACAAAGCTTCCATACTGAATTTTGTTCCACAAAGTAGCAGTTGTCAGGAAGAAGCCGTCTGTGCCGAAGTTTCTCTTCACAACTGGAATACAGAGGAAATGTGGGCGATTTGACCCCGTGGACGTAGCATAATGACTCCTAGTTGGAAACGACCGAACTGATGGAACCAAAAGCAAAGAGTGGAATTTATTTCAACATTTACCTTTATATACTTGCTTGAAACGCGATAGATCCGTAACGTTGCGTCTCTGGAAATGAGACTGTAGAGTGTAAAACAATAAATCTTTCACAAGACATAGCAAACGATCCCGAACATAAAAATTGCTAAAAAATGACGAGTGGGCATCCTCAACTCAGACATGGCCGCAACACACCATTTTTGCTCTAATCTGACTCTTGTAACGATAAAGTATGACAGGAGGAGTCGGGTACATCCATTACTACTTAAAATGGCTTCGTCTTTCGCGTTATCGACGAGATGTAGAAATATCACGCGCTAAAATCGTGACTATAAATTAAATTTATTGACTATAAATTAAATTTTATGAAAAAGTTTTTTTTTATTAATTTAATTTAATTTTTTGTATTTGTTTGCGACGCTAAATTTGACTTTGTACAAGTGAGCCTCGAAGAAAACTAAGTTTGGAAGCTGAGAACCAAATGTTCATCTAGAAGGCATTGCTCTATAAAATGTACGAAGCATTTTTCAAGTTTATTCATTTTTGACAATTGGATGGCGTCATAGATCTGAGCAAAAATTCGGGTGGTCTAAAAATATGCCCCACATAAAAATAACGAAATAAGGATTTTTTAGGCGAAAGGAAATTAAAAAAAAAAGTCCCTAGATGCGGGTTGATTCATAAACAAATCTAACAGGGAAAATTCACAATGAATTTTTTAATACGAATTCCTGGGATGTCGACAAATCTTTTTTAAAACAAATTATTTCACCCAAGACACGAGGACGTGATTACTGGGTGTGAGATAATATGAAAAAAGAAGAAGGAAAAACATTATTAAGGAGAGGTAAAAGGAGAAGGATTAACATCAGAAAGAGGAAGCTGAAGTTTCTGAGACACATAAAGGAGGGCCTGGAGAATCTGACACTCACGGGTCAAATAGAGGGAAAGAGAGACAAGAGAAAGCAGTGCCTGACATACCTGACGAGCTTGATCAGGTGGATGACAGAACGTGGTCTGGGGGAGGAAGCAGAGGGAAGGAACATGCTGAGAGCTGCAAGGGATAGAGGGAGGTGGAGAGTCATGATCGCCTACGTCCAGAAAGGTCATGGCGCATAAAGAAGAAAGAATAAAAGAACAGTTATTAAGAAGACACGAGATAAGGATTGATATATTTAAATTTTTGAACACCAAACTTGACTGGGAAGTAAGAAGCCGAAATACGAGAGAAGAAACTGTTAGCATAGAACTTACGGTTGCATTTATTCATTTCAGTTGAAAAATGATGAGATATTACTGCCAACCTGGTATTGCGCTTAAATTCATAAAGCCTAAATCCCCAAAGAGGAAAGTAAGTCAAAAAAAAAAAACTATCATGAAAGTCTTTTTATAGAAAAAGCAAAAGGGAAACTATGTTACGATAGTGGGGAAGTTTGTGATCAGATTTACCAAGTCTAGACCAATACAATTACAGATTATTCTTTGTATTTTATGAAGGATCTCCAAATCTATAGCAGAAGCACAAGACCAGATTCTATTTTAAGCTATTCGTTTGAAAGTATGTCGAATTAGAAACTATATTTTGGTGAGGGCAACGTATTTGACTGTTAATATTTACTTTATTTACATTCTTAGCAATGTTCCCATCATCGCTGTTAGCATCGAATCACGAATCCCATTCACGCAATACAAGGAATCACGAACCCCAGGGACGAGATACAAGCAATCACGAACCCCAATCACAAGATAAAAGCAATCACGTACCCTAGGGACGAGATACAAGCAATCACTAATCCCATTCACGAGATAAAATAAATCACGAATCCCATTCACGAGATACAAGAAATCACGAATCCCAGGGACGAGATACAAGCAATCACGAATCCCATTCACGAGATACAATAAATCACGAATCCCATTCACGACATACAAGCAATCACGAATCCCAGGGAAGAGATACAAGCAATCACGAATCCCATTCACGAGATACAATCAATCACGAATCCCATGCACGACATACAAGCAATCACGAAACTCAGGGACGAGATACAAGCAATCACGAATCCCATTCACGCGATACAAGCAATCACGAAACACATTCACGAGATATAAGCAATCACGAATCCCAGGGACGAGATACAAGCAATCACGAATCCCATTCACGAGATACAAGCAATCACGAACACCAGGGACGAGATACAAGCAATCACGAATCCCATTCACTAGATACATGTAATCACGAACCCCAGTCACAAGATACACGTAATCACGAACCCCATTCACAAGATACAAGAAATCACGAACCCCAGTGACGAGATACAAGCAATCACGAACCCCAGTCATTAGATACACGTAATCATGAACCCTGGACATACAATACACGCCTACAATTCTCATTCATATATTAGAAATACTATATATGACTGGTTCCTGTCATATCATATATATCACCATATATTTATATTTTCGACTACAGGAAATAAAAAAAACCTAACATACTCATTGTGTACATATGTACTGTATTTATTGTATTCCCTGTTTTAATAAATTAACTAATATTAATTTCTGTAAAATAGTCGATTTCCTGCATATTTTTTTATTTTGCCTGCAGATTTTGTCGTTTGCATCCTAAGTCCGCTGCTGGGGTCCGTAGAAATTTGTATTTATCTTTGATAGGTTTCTTAATAATTTTCCCTAGCTCTGTAGTAGAGTTCTTTCATTATTTGTTCACAGGTTGGTATTAATTACATATTGGAAAAGCCTTTGATAAATTCCGCCTCGTTGTGTGTCTGTTTTTTTTTTAATTATTCTGTCTACTAGATTTTCTTTATGAAGTACAATGTTGAATTTTAGTCCAGAGCTAAGAGAACTCTCCAATAATGTCGGAATAGAAAATAGGAAGACACATGTACAAAAAAAGGGGTTATCTGTTCTCTCGGGTACGTGACGAACCTGAGTGGATTACTATCCACAAGCTAAAAGGAAAGATTGCCAAAACATCGGGATCAGTTAGCAGTCCTTTTGATTGATTCTTCCCATTGCTTGAAGTCGAGTGCAGCTTATACTGTAATAACTGCAGCAAGGATTTAAGACATACACATGATTTTTTTTTAAATCTGCGTAAATAAGATGTTTTTAATCACCCCGAGTAAGGCAATAATTCCACTAAGACAGGATAACTAGGAATGGAAGAGAGTGAGACGATTTTAGTTAGGTGAAAGGACAGACAGAAAATAGCGATTGACGATGCATTTAAATTTCTGAAGATTGTAGGTGACAGGGAAGAAATAATTTGGAAAAGTGTTCCACAGGTTGGACCTGGGAACACCAGCAATTAAGAAGTGGTTCCATGCTCCTCAAAACCTCCTGATCAGAGGCCTTGCTTCCGGATGTAGTTTATCGTCTTACTCAGGACGCGGATGTAGTTTAACGCCTTACCCAGGACGATTTCGTTTTGAAGTCGTTAACATTTACAAGTCATTTCTTGTCCAATTTAACACCTCACTGGATGTGTCAGTGTGAACAGCGGCGAGACTGCTTATGTCAATGTAACATGAATTATTGGATTTCTAATGTAATGGGTGCCAGATGGATGGAACATCCCAGTTGTACAATTATCGAAACTTTTCATCACTCGATATAAGACATCACGTATGTCCCTAGAATACAAGTTGGAAAGCATTACCGCACACCATGGATTGCGCAGTTGCCAATAACAGGTTCTTAACCCTTTGAGCCTTGCGTTTATGAACAATTTTAAACCCGTCTGCCTCAGCTCCTGAGTCAAAATTCGCAAGTAATTGGTATATAATGTTTCACGGTAGATATAAAAATAGTTACAAGTGTTTACCCACCGTTCCACAGGTAACTGAGCATTAAGTCATTTTTGTCTACCACTGTTCAACCGGTGAGTGGCATTACGTCATTTTTCTCTACCACCGGTAAAGCGGTGGTCAGGGCTCAAACGATTAATGCTTATGTATATATGAATCTACCGAGAGTGGCAACAGACACGCTACTCTGACTCAAATCACAACATTCAATACAGAGCTTTACTAGATGCGTATCCAGTAGGTAATCTACGTATACTTTAGCGCTCCCATCGGCTATGGGAACAAAAGGCTCAAAATGCCTTTCGTCTGGGTTCGCGACGTCTCTCATTAGACCTTCGATGACTGGTGACATAAGGTGTAGTCACATGAATCACGGTTTCAGTTGTTATAGTCAGCAAGACGCCGTTAATAGATGTGGTGGTTTCATAATAGTGTAGCATGTGTTCTGGCATGTGCTCGTTCCGATGGCTTGCCTAAGGAATTCATTGACAGATGACCGTCACGTGACACCGTTTGAGTGAACATTTAAACCATTTAGAAAAATTGGTTCTCTGTGTCGCGCCAGAAGTTTTTTTTCTCGCCTGAGTTCATCCTTCAAATCTACAAGTGTAGCATTCGTCTTTACATTGAATACTGTTACCATATATGGTCTGGTGTCACCACAGTTCATCTCGAGGTCCTTGACAAAATCCAGAGACAGATATGCAATGTGATAGGTCCTGACCTAGCATTTCAACAACAGTTACTTTCTCACAGTCGTGACGTGGCTTACCTCTGTTTTTTTTTATACAAATATTTTCATGGCAACTGTTCTGACGAGCTACTTTCACTGGCACCCCAACTGCATGAATTTAAACATGCTACTTGGTTGGCATTTCGGTCCCACCCTTTCACTGGCAAAATAGTTAAACATAGACATATCTTATACTCAAACAGCTTCTTCTTTTGCACTTCCCGATATTGGAACTCCCTTCCTCTTAGTTGCTTCCCTGATAGCTATAATCTTCAAATATTCAAATGTAATGTCAATCGATATCTTCTAATGTCTTGGTCTTGATCCCCGTTCTTCTCTTTATCTTTTTGCTCAGACACCACTCTTTGCTCTTACTCTCACTCTCTGCAACCCCTTGCGTGGTAGTGGCACTCTCGCCTTGTTTGAAGTGAAATGCTTTTAAAAAATGGATTCCATATACTCAAACAGCGTAATGTAATTGCTATAATAATGTAAGAAACAGAACGTTTTCAGTAGTCGTAAGCATACATTTTGATTTTGTTCTAAGTATAGCATTAGATGTTTCTATCAAATCTGATGTCAAATCTACATTCCTGGAGCCGCGGTGAAGTTGTTTTGTCATTAACGATTTGAGTTGCATATATATATATATATATATATATATATATATATATATATATATATATATATATATATATGACGCTTTTACTCTACATTTTAATGATAACTCTAACATTTTTAGGCATTTAAAACAACATGCCTCGCCGCGTACACAATTCCGGAAAATCCTTGTTTAAACATGAAAGCAATAAACAAAAATTAAAAATACTTGAAGCTTTATACATAAAACAGTTGAAACCTGACCTGAACAAAATAAACTATGAAATCTCCACAAATATTCTTAAATGCCTATAATTTATGACAGAAGCCATTGGTTTATACCAACGGCTTCCCATACTTAATACTTCGTGTTTTCACTCTAGCGTGGTCATGTGTGACATCACGAGCTGCGACGCGATTTTCGCTTCCGCGTCTCGTCTCGTTGCTTTGAAATTTTTCATGCAGCAAGTGCAGACTATCATTGTTGTTTCGTCCGTGTCTTGTTTGATATATTGAAATTGTCATCTTTGATAATGGCTTATTTAAGTCGAAAGCTTAGATTGGATTTAAACATGTATCAATATGGTGATTTCCATTCATCTTTAAATGATAATGTGATTAAGCTTATCTGAAAGGAACTTAAAATAAATAGACAAAACTTGCCTATATTATTTAATGTAACATGCATTAATATATATATATATATATATATATATATATATATATATATATATTAATGCATAAATAACTATACATATATATATTTGTTTATATTTATATACACTTTTCACATATATTCTTTATCTATCCAACCAAATATGTTAGCTCTATCTCTGATATTGAGCGCTTTCTAATAAGTACCGCGCATATAATATATAAATAATTATACATATATATTTTGTTTATATTTATATACACTTTTCACACACACACACACACACACACACACACACACACACACACACACACACACACACACACATATATATATATATTATAAAAAAAAAAACTCTTCACATCATTCAATATTCAATGGGACCAATCAAATATTTTGGTTGATATTTACCTGAGACTAGCATTGACACATGAATATTTTCAGTGGACATTTCCTACGTCGGGCGACACAATGAGATGATTTGGCGTCGCAAGTCAGACAAACAAACTGTGTTTGTCGATGTTTTCCTCTATCAACAACATCGAGGTGAATTCATTATTCGATTTTTCATTGCGACCGAGCTTGGCATGGTTTAATGAAAAGTTACAAACAGTGTCAAGTAGGGTCATGCGATGCGGAATGACAATAAAATGAATTCGGGCGCTGAGTCAACGTTTCGTGAGATTTCAGTCGAGATGTCATTTAGAGAAATGCTGATTTCAAAACAAAAACAATTGGTTAGTTTGAAATGTTTTTTGTATTGAAATTAGTGTTTCTCTAGAAGACTTTTTCCGATCCGAATTGAAACATTGCAACAGTAAAACAACAATCGGTTTTTCTTCAACACTCACTCACTCACTCACTATCTATCTATCTATCTATCTATCTATCTATCTATCTGACTCTCTTTATCTATCTATCTATCTATCTATCTATCTATCTATCTATACTTCCTTTTTTTCGTATCCAAGTCTTTCTATCTATGTCCTTTATTTCAGACATGTCGCCATTTTTCTTTTTTTATGCTAAGTGATTTTTACGGAATAACTTACTGATATATTTATTACTGCCAACGCGACAAACCAGAAATCTAAAAATAGAAAATTCACTTTACGATGATAGTATCAACAATTAGATCCCGCGACAGAGTCGTTTAGTGCGCACAGGAGGAAGATATATATATATATATATATATATATATATATATATATATATAGAGAGAGAGAGAGAGAGAGAGAGAGAGAGAGAAGAAGGAGTTAGAAAATTTGAGAATTAAATAGAAACTATAAAAAAAAATTAGAAACGAACATACAATGTTAAATTAATAAATAGATAGGTAGATGCTGACTGATATATACAGATATATATATATATATATATATATATATATATATATATATATATACAGACAAATATATATATATATATATATATATATATATATATATATATATATATATATATATATATATATATATATATATATATATATATATATATATATATATATATATATATATATATATATATATATATGAAGAAAATACACGGAAAAAACAAACAAAAATCCTAATATGCAATTATGCTGTTTTAATGTTAATATATTGTCAACGTCGGACGTTTCGGTCTAGTAGACCATCTTCAGGACATATTCATAAAACATAATTAACATTAGACTATATTCAATTCAACATGAAAAGACGACGGACATAAGAGTAAGACTAATCAAAATATCGTCTTTTCATGTTGAATTAAATATAGTGTAATGATAGATAAAGAGAGTCAGATACATAGATAGATAGATAGATAAATAGATAAAGATAGTCAGATAGATAGATAGATAGAGAGATAGAGAGAGAGAGAGAGAGAGAGAGAGAGAGTCAGTCAGATACATAAATAGATAGATAGATAAATAGATAAAGAGAGTCAGATAGATAGATAGATAGATAGATAGATAGATAGATAGATAGATAGATAGAAAAAAACCCAGTAAATCCGGTGATAGGAAAGAAATCTCTTTAGAAAAGCGAAAGTAAGACTTTATCTTTGGTTCTCAACCGAATCTAAAATTCCTCGTTACAATTTGATTCAGATGTTCGTAACCAGTTGATACATTACATCTCATTGCCCATTACACTAAGTACAAATTCAAGCTTACAGCACCTGATATTCCCAAGCGTTCACCCATCTAGGTACTGCTCAGTTTCGACGTTGCTTAACTTCGGTAATCTTACGAGAAACGATGTTTTCACGTGATATGGCCGTAAGCCTTGAAAGCTTTAATTTTCTTTTTTCATTTTTGTGATTCCTTTATTTTGTTTGATGTTTGTTTTTTTTTCGTTTTCTTTAGGTCTTTTCATTTTAAAGGCTCAGTGCTGGTAGCGTTGTTCTTTGAGGCATTATCAACAGTTTGATTTGTATATATATATATATATATATATATATATATATATATATATATATATATATATATATATAGTCAGTGAGATATCTACTAACAGAAGTGATAGAAATAAATGAATTTAACTGGAATCAGCTACATAAAAAATTCCCAGCATCCATCATTCGTATAGCAGAAAAAAACATACGTTGACAAATAGATTCGTGGAACTAACTCGTGAACTATCGCCCGATGGTGTATATGTCGGCTAGGCACGGTATACATTTGTCTCAATCCTATATTAAAAAAAAAAAAAACTCTTACTTACGATCAGTGATGAATCGATTGATATAACTCGGACATCGCTGTAATGCCAAATTTCCGGCTTCTGTGGTCGGCCAACACATAATTCCATCCCAGATACCAGGACAGGAATCATCTGCAATTAAGTAAGATATGAAATACAAAGCTACACAATTTCATCTTACATTTGTTTTAACGTTATTTATGTAAAAATATTATTAAACAAGCAAAGTGTATTTGCAGTACAAGATATTCTGAACCTAAATAAAGTCTGTTGTTGGAAAACCAAGGTCACATCTCTAGTTATAGATAAAGATACCTCAATTCCTTCAGATCATAGCATAAAAATTGCACATCAAATATAGATCTCTGTTTTTATCAATGTTATATCTCTGTTCATAGATGGACATTATATATTCTTGCATTGTTTTAGGCTATAGTATAAAGATGTCCTTTGAATAAAAATCTCTCGTTTTTACATTTACTATATCTCTGGATATAGATCTGAATAATATCGTTGAATTACATTATTATACATTATTCGGACTATTGTCCTCATCTTTGTCGCCATATTTATTACAACGTTTCAGCCGTTGTACGCTCCGGCCTTCTTCAGGTGGTTGGAATGTCGAACTGAACTCTTTATTTCGCTCACTGGGGTAGACTGTTCTAGTTCCAAGTGCCATGTTTAATTGATGTCAGTTATCAGTTATCTCCTGTTAATTCCCCTTTCCAAGTTTTCCACTGCTTTAACTCACACGCTTTGGGTCCTGTTACTGGATCTAACTAACGCTTTTATCCATTGTGCCATGTGTCCTTGGGGACATCTGTGTAAGAATTTCTCGGTATTATAAACCTAATGTCTGAGCAACCGTTTTTTACCAATGCTCACAATGCAATTTTTTGCTGTTATCATTCATGTTTTTACCAGAGCTCATATTGAAATTTTTATTGTTATTATCGCTTTTCTCTGGCACTCCTTATTACTGGTTCCCATATTGTATTTATTTCTCTGCTTTTTCGGCTCAGGAGATTTTTGTGGCCTAGCATATTACGAATTTTTCAATGGTGTTCTTTGTCTACGATCTCAACCTGACCCCACAGAGGGAGGTGATCTCCCTTTTTTCTCCATATGTGGTCAGCCGTGCCTGATTTTTCCACTTCCCCTCGTGTTACAGCTTTCTGGCGTTCTTGCAGCCTTACCTTAAGGGGTGGCCTGTCTCCCCTTTATATTTCTTTCCGCAGCTGCGCGGGATAGCGTACACATAATCTTTTGTCATGTTCTCCTCTATGGGGGATTTTACATGGGAGAGATATCTGCGAAGTGTCGTCTCGTCCAGCTTTTGAAGGTTGTTCTGATGTCATATGAAAAAGGCTGGAGCGTACAACGGCCGAAACGTTGTAGTAAATATGGCGATAAAGATGAGGACAATAGTCCGAATCATGTAAATAGTGTATATAATACCACATCTCAGAAATATAGACCTATCATTGAATTACTTTTAGTTTATTGTTTGAATTTATTGTTTATAATATATATATATATATATATATATATATATATATATATATAGGGGTATATTTTTACTTTCGTCATGTCTCTGGATGTGCATTATAATTTTTTCCACTATTTTAGAAGAAAGACTGTTTGAATATAGTGCTGCCTATTTACATTCGTCTTACCTATAGAGCCTCATATCCTATAGAGCCTCATATCCTATAGAGCCTCATATCCTATAGAGCTTCATATCCTGATATTTCTGTGAACAGCAGACATGTCCAGTTCTGCCGTAATGTAATACGTGATTTTGCTGATTAAACAACGAAAGTCTCTCTCTTTCCCTATCTCTCTCTCTCTCTCTCTGCATTATAAATGAAATTATTTTCAAATTCCGGAAGATTTTACTGTAAAAAGATAAAAAATACAAAACACTGACCTTGAATCTCAACTGACTCATTCTTCAAATTAAGAAGACATTCCTTTTCTCTTTTACTTAATTCCAACGCTTGCATATGAGGTTCAATCTCCACCACTTCCTGTTAAGAAAAATAATATAATTAGAAATGTATCAGGGTATTTTGAAAATTTATTTCTTTCTCACTTCTGTCTACTTTCAATGTTCGGTAGAATTTCAAATGCTGATTTTCAGAGTAATCACTGACATTTGGAATAAAATCATTTTAATCCCGATTTCCCTTAAGCGTTTCCTTTTTGCTTGACTAACATTAACTTAGTAAACATCAACATGAACGATGGCTTCTTCACCACTAGGCCACAGAGGCATTCATGAACGATGGCGTCTTCGCCACTAGGCCGCAGCGGCTTTTATGAACGATGGCGTCTTCACCACTAGGCCACAGAGGCTTTCATGAACGATGGCATCTTCACCACTAGGCACAGGTGTTTTTAAGACCGATGGCGTCTTCACCACAAGGCCACAGAGGCTTTCGTGAACGATGGCGTCTTCACCACTAGACCACAAAGCCTTAATGAACGATGGCGTCTTCACCACTAGGCCACAGGTGCTTTCAAGAACGATGGCGTCTTCGCCACTAGGCCACAGAGGCTTTGATGGACGATGGCATCTTCACCACTTGTAGACATACATGTAAAACGATTTTCAGAAGTTCCAATATCGAGTTTGATCGGGAATCATTTTCAATGCTGTTTACTTTTTGGTCGATCCATCCTTCTTTAGACAAAATGATAAAAAAAAGAAGATGGTAATAGACAAAACTAAAACAAGATTAGAAGGTTCTGATCTGCCGTTTCAGTTGGCGGTGATCAAACCCCAGAAACATAACTTCGAACTAAAGTTTTTTGCAATCGTTCCGGAACCGTCCGAATAAACATTTTTTTTTATTTTGAAAATATATATCTACCTAAATAAAAAAACTATATTATATTATTTACATCTTAATATCTTCTCCATAAAATTCTATAAATTTTATCAATCATTCAACAGTTGATTTTGCTAACTTCTCTAATGTTTTGACTACAACTTGCTTTTTGCGTTTTGATAGATTTGTTTTTTACGGTTTATCAACTTTTTGCAAGATATTTAAAACCAGAAAATATTTTTAGATATAGGAAGTTTTTGGAGATAATAATGATTTACTGATACAAGTCCTACTATTTAACATATAGCTGGGAGATAAGGTAATTTCATACATTTCTCAAGGGCATTTGCGTGTAAGTAAATACAACGAACCTGACTGGAATTGGAACTCCACTTTCCGATTTTCAATTCCAAACCATTATCCATTACATACCTAAGTTTACAGCACGTGGCATTCCCAAACGTTAACCCATCTAGATGATGACCAGGCTCAACATTGCTTAATTTCAGTGATCGTAAGGGAGTAGTTATTTTTATTGCTTCCAGGATATCTTGATTTTTCCATTCTTGTATACACATCTTTTAATAATAGACCACAGATTTTCTATTGACTCAATAACTAGAGAAACTAATTGTCATCTCATTAATTTAGTGTCTTTTCGATAAGGTGGGTAATACTCCACTTTGCCGCATGACAGGGTGCGTTGTCGTGCATGAGTTAAACCTTTAGCTTAAAGCATCTTGATTAATATCTGTCCATTAAACAAAAATGTTTGGTCGAAGAACTTCCAACCATTCCATGCATTTATCTTATGTTTAATACACTCATCATGTTTCTATGTGTATACCTCTGATAGTCACACCTTGTCGTGGTAGAGGGACTTGCGTAGGCCAATGACTCTGAGAACGATGCCGTCGGGAGTTGTAAACTCCTGGTAGGGCCAATCTTGGTGGCAAGGTAGTAGACGAAGAATCAAAGTAAACGTGACCAACTCCAAAATTACGCGCTGGTGAAACAAGTGGATGGCGATTACAACAGAACTCAACGGTTCAATCAGCGGATGAAGAGGGCTACGCATGACGGACATGCTATAGTAGGCCCAATTCGAAATTTATAACAGGGTCAGTGGCAGTCATTTGCAGTTTTATAACTGGATTCTCTATGTCTCATTCCATATCTGCCACAGGGGAAGGTCATAAAAATCAAGTGTGTGGGTTACTTCTTGGCAAGTTGAAGTCCACCTTCAACAAATACACGCCATCGGCACTTTCTTCTACTCTGATTTTCTTTCACCTTTAATCACAAACGAAATGATATGAAACAGCAAAAAAAAAAAAAAAAAAAAAAACACACAAACGGCGATAGAGAATGGATAACAGCAGCAGGTTTTGGTAAAATTAGAAGCTTCTAATCCTGAACTTGCTACGTTGGCAGCTAATCTAGTTATAAACACCATCGTCATAAAGGAAACAATAAGCAACGAAGAAATTAAATTCTTGGATACAAGATAAAACCGACAGCGATTACAATTAACACTGCAGCATTATTTATCAACCGGTGTTCTCCGGCAGGGTTAGGGTCCCGCAACCGGTGTTTCCCTACCGTAGGGTTCCATAAAAGATCGCTAGGGATTTCGAGAGAAACAGAAATTGATAGGCTAAAGTATTTTTGAGTTAATTTTTGCTCAATTTCATATTCGGTATTTTACTATACATGTACAGCATATTGTTGTAAAATCCTTGA